GAAGCTTACACAATATTTCCACCTCACTTAAAAGAAGTCTGGAAGTAAGCCACCCAGAGCTGGTATGGTGGCTTTATGGTACATAAAGAAGGACAAATCAATGACCCAGATGTCCTTCTTAATGCTCGTCCAACCTTAGCATGTGGCTTTTATGTGGCTTCATTGTCTAAAATGTCCACTCAGGATTTAGCGAATACATCTGCAATCTGGTCAGCAGGAAGAAAGAGGGGGAATAAAAGCATTTCTTTCCCTTTTATAGGTTCTTCCCCAAAGTTCTTCACCACACTTTGCTTCCTCTCTGCAGAAAGTAGCCACCAGGTTGCATCTAGCTGCAAAAGAGGCTGGGAAACATGGAGTCTTTTATTCCAGGTACCAGTGTACCCAGCTAAAAACAGGGATTCCATAAAAAGGAGGTATGGAAAACTAGGAGTCTCAGCTACAAATAAGCTGACTGCTTTGACTGTGTAAATTCAGATGTGTTTCTTGATGAAGCAGGTCTCAGTTTATGGTTTTATGACATAAGAGTGTGTGTGCACGCGTGTGCATGTGCCTCCCATAAAAGAATTGGAGTGGTTTGGAAAGACAAAGCATGAGCAGCCAAAGGCATTGCTTATAAACGGGACATTTCCTATCAAAAGTTAAGTTAGGGCCATAGGAGAGCAAAAGATAGAGTAAGTTTGATATTTTTTATTATTAGTTGTCTGTTCGTCCCCTCACCTTCCAACACTACTTTTAAACTGTACTGAATTTCTTCACCTTCCATCTTTGTATTTTCTGCTCTTTCTACCTGGAACACTTTTCCTGATCTTTTAAATTTTCTCCCATAGTAGTTTGCACTCATATTCATCATGCATTATGTGTCTCTTGACTGCTTTACAGACTATATGCTCTATAAGGACAGAAGTCCAATGCCTTGTCCAATGCTATTATCCCAGTAGCCCTGGATTATAGCAGGCATGCATGCGTGCGCGTGCGCGCGCGCGCGCGCACGCACACACACACACATACACACACACACTCACAATGCCATGAATTAATAACATTTGTGCTAGTCATAGCTACTTGAGAGATTAACCCTGCTTCCAGAGAGTATTGGGTTGTCAGAAAAGTCATGACGTATTTTTTCTATGTTTTTCATTGCAAAAATGCATCATGACTTTTCTGACAGCCCAATACATTATTGTAGCCATCACAATGTGCGAGCAAAAGAAATATGTAAATCTGTTTCTCCAACCCTTAATCTGTGTGGCAAGATTCTTTGAATCACACTGGGCAGGCAACTGTGTGGAGCTGAAAAAGAGTCTTTGAGTTGGGGTTTCAAAGACCTGTGGTTATGTCCTGCCTCTTTGTCAGCTATTCAGGCTTTGTTAAGTCAGCCTCTGCTAGCTGTTCATTAAAATCCTCTCTGCTTGTCTTCCTAAAGCATACAACTGGACTGTTGTAGGTTTCTCATGTGACAGAGTTCAAGCTAATAAAATATAAGTGGAAGAGATGTAGGCTACCTCCAAGCTTGACCAATGAAAGCTTGCAAGCTCTGCCATCTACGACCACATATCCTCCATCATAATTTTTCTTCCTTTTGACTAAACCAGATAGGGACAATCACGGTGACACTGGGAACCACATTTTGAAGATGATATGTAGTCACTCAGGACTTTGCTCCTGAATGTCAGCCCTTTCTGATGGTGAATGACTACCCCAGTATCATGGGAATACATTTCCTGTTCTCTGATCCACTAAATATTTAGGGGTTTGTCACCGTTTTTGGACTTAGATCCTAACTAACATAGGGAATAGTAATATTTACTTTATAGAGGAAATGATGTATATAAATCCTTAACACAAAGCCTGGCACCTTGTATGTAAAAAAAGTACCAATTGTTATGGTTATAATAGGGTTTGGATGAGAAGTAAGTAACAAATGAATGTGCTCTATAAACTAAAAAGTGCTATACAATATTATCTCTTGCGTAGTTCAAAGAAGAAATTAAATCTTTTTATTTCTATGAAGCCCTTTCTTCGGAAGGGAAATTAAGCTTTCTGTGACCACTTGCACATTGCAGTTGTAACATTTCACTATACATATAGGCACACACACATAACCCTCTTTTACTGGGTTTGTTTGCGCCTTTATATGCTTTTAAATACAAATCGGTAATTTAAGGCATTCATTTTATAGTGTCCATTTACAGAAAGCAAATAGGTAACTTAGTGGAATACATCCTACCAAGTTAGGCTGGTGGCCCATACAGGTATAGCCTTCTGAAAATGCCGTTAATGATGGCAGGGATCCAGCACTGCAAATGAGGTGAAAAAGGATTTACTAGGTAATACAAAAAATCACACATGATGCATATCTGTCCTCGAGAGCTCTTGCTCCGAGGTCTTAAACATAGCCACAACTCCACAAGCAAGCGAGTAAGCGTGGGGGTAATTGCAATCATTGTTTCCTTCCACTTACAGGGAACAACAGCACCAAGGAACTCAACTCTCTTAAGTTTCTGGCTTCCTTGGCCAGTGTTTCTTACCGGCCCCTGTTCTCATTTCAAAACATTAGTAATGCCCAGAATATGTCTGTCCATTACAACTACTAGGCACACTGAAGTTCACAGACAGCTTGAACAAATTAGTCATCCGCATTTGAATGCCTCCATTGACGATTGTACATCCATTATTGCATTGCTGAAGTGCAGCTGCATGACTGTTAACGTTGAAAAGAATTAAGCTTTACTCACCCAATTTTAGCTGTCACCTGTGGCTTTTCAGCACCACAAGTCAAGGTATGTGGGGAAAAAACCCAAACTGACCATGATAGAAGACATCCATAAGTGTCTCAAGCCTTTTGCCCTTTATATTTCTTCTGACATTGTTCCCTTTTTTTAGGTAGGAGTCACATAGTGTTACTTTTTATTTGAAACCTCTTACAAGCCAAACTAGAGTCTGAATGGGTACATTGTATTGTGTTAGTATTCAATATGTGCTAATTAAATTAGAGCAGATTATAAAGAGAGAATTGATACAATGTTCATGAGAGTCAGGATTAGGTAAATGTCTTTGTATGTTAAAACTTGTAAAGTTGTATGCATTGTTTTAAGACATATGAAGACAGACCATTCATTCATTTATTTATGCCACAGGTGTTATCAGGCTCCAGCTAAGTGCCAGACACCAGGCTCTATGTTGGGGTACTAAGATAAATAAAGCATAATCGCTGTCCCCAAGGAACTCAGTCTAGTGGCAGAAATACAAAAGCAAAGTTTAGTATCATAGATTATATGAAAAGAAATATAATATATAGCACATTTCAACATTTAATTCAAACTTCACTTGCCCTTTGGCTATAAGCATTATTAAAAATGATTTTCAAGGTTCTTTTGCTATTTTGTGGTCTCTTAAAAAATCTGATGAAAGATAAAATTCTTCCCAAATGATCATAATTGAAAACGAATGCACAGATAATTAAGTATACCATAAGAAATCACACAGATGTCATGGGAACACACTAAGTTTCATCAGACCTGGTGTTTTTTAAAAATCATGTTAGCATTTACCCATTATTCATTAATGAAGTCATTCACCAAGTATGTATTAATTGGTGTCTAAGTGCTTACTAACTAGGCTGTAAGCTCTGAGATTCCCAGTCTTTGCTGTCTGTGCTCCGCCAGAGACACACAACAGAAGCTTAATGTAGGCTTTACTGAATGAATATTGAAAGAACTCTGGGCACCTTACCAGATTCTGAATGTTTCCTGCTGAATGAGGGTGGCTCCTGCCCACACAAAGCTTAAAATCTAATCTGGAACTGGAGGTAATATTATTCCTGAGATTTAAGATCTCAAGAAAAGTGAATAGTTTCATCAAATGAATCAATGAATAAATCTAGCAGAGTTAATATTGTCAGCAGATCACGGAGCTAAAGTAGACTATAACTCCAAAACTTTAAGTACAATTTCTTTTCAACTTTTATACACACATACATGTATACACATGAACATATACAAAAGCACTGCTGATTGTTATGACTCCCCCCCCCACACACACACACATACATCTTAGCCAGGGTTTTCCCGAGGCTCCCAGCCATGGCTTACAAAGTGGAGCACGTGGCCACCCATCCATATCTTAACTTCCTGGCCTCCCAGTCAGTTGCTTTTCAAAATGTCACGTTATCATTTTTACTCTTTTTATTATAAACCCATAGGTCAGTGCCTCTATTTAATATTCAGTCAAATTTAAATAAAATGAAAATTTTAACACCAAAGATTAGGAAAATCAATGACACTTTGGATATACCTAAATGTTTAACACACCAAGACTGATTATTTAAGCCTGACTCAAACCAGTGCATGATACAGATCGGTTCAAAATATCTAAGTTTATTTTGAGAAGAATGAATACTGTACCCTATAATAATTTAATATGCCATGGCAAAATATAATAGGCAGGTGAAGGCTGTTGTAGTAATTTTTTAAAAAATTAAAATTTATTGAGGTGAAAATGGTTAGTAAAATTACATAGGCTTCAAGTGCACAATTCTGTAATACATCATCTATATATCACATTGTGTGTTCACCTCCAGAGTGAGTTCTCCTTCCATCACCATATTTTTTTTTTTTTTTAGCTGAGCCATCCTGCTACCTGTTGGCAGCTCAGCGGCTGCTCAGCTCGGGCTGGACTCGAACCGCTGTTGCTCAGAGCTCAAACTCTTGAGCGAGCTCTTAACCAACTGAGCCACTCGGCCAGCCCTGCCCATCACCATATATTTGACCCCAGCTGTAAATGTCTATATGTCTATTTCAGTATAAAAAATTGTATCATTACAAAAAAAAGTGCTGATGCCTAGAAACCTTGTTCTACAAAGAATTCCACTGTGGTAAAAGTTGTTGAGATAAGAGGCACCCTCTAATAGGAAAATGTGTCTGACTGGAATATCTGAATGGAATGCTATAAATGAAATATTCTTGCTATGGCTATTACTCCCTTATCAAGAGTTCAAGATCTTAAGGAAGTGCTTATTTGGTCCAAAATGTGATATTGAGCCTTCTCAACTCTATCGAAAAAGTCCAGCTCTGTGAATTAGTAATGCCATTTTGTAAAGATGAAGACAAACAAAGAGTCATCAAGGAAACACTTTGGGCTCAGGTTGCAAGTGGTCACTTGGACCTCGTAGAGAGGCCAGCTGCAGATTTGGGTAGGACTGCAAACCTCAGGTCATCCATCAGTCCCAGTTCTTTTCTGCCTCCTTTTATTACTGTCATCAGTGCTTTCCCCTGCTGGCGGGATGTCCTTTGTGGACACTTGCTCTCTGGGGCCGCCCGAGGCCTTCACAGATTTCAAACGTTCAATTTAGGGACGGAGCCTCCCAATCTCTGAAGGGATCAACCTGTTCTCCCACAGGCTCGTGGGGTCCCTGCGCCGCCCAAGAAAAGGCAGCGCCGAGGCGCCAGGCCGCGCGCTTTCGTGGCTTTGAAAACTTTCCAGCGCGCGTGCCACGGCGACGCGCAGCGGCCTTGGCGGGACCCACGCGGCCCGCGCCTCCTGCGGGGAACTTTTCAGCGTCTCGGCCGTGTCACTCTCGCTTTCCGATGCGCCTCCCCCTGGCCTCGAGCTCCGCTAGCTCCCTCCCTCTTGGCGAGGACCGTCCCTGCGCGGCTGCTCTGCGCTCGCTCTGCCGGGGCCGGCCGCACAGCTGAGGAGCCCCTCTCCCCGGCCACCTCCTAGCTCCCTTGTGTGTCGCTTTTCCAAATGGCCCGGCCGGGTCCGGCGCCCTGATCGCCAGCGAGCGCAGTGCCGAGCACACCCCGGCAGCCCGGAGCAGGGAAGGGCGGGGTGGGGAGGAGGGGACCCGCCGAGGAGCCGGCGGCTGCTTGGAGCCGACTTTTCGCCAATGGTCCAAAGCGACATGTCCAAGTCGCCTCCCACAGCGGCGGCGGCGGTGGCGCAGGAGCTCCAGATGGAACTGCTGGAGAACCCGGCGCCCGCGGGGGCGCTCGGAGCGGCCGCACAGGTAGCGATAGTGCCGCGCCTTCTCCTTTCTTTGTGAGCTGCCCGGGCACAGACCTCTGTCTCCCCCCGGCGCCTCCTCTGCTTAGATCCCTCGCCCCGTCGTTCCCTCCTGCTCGGTCTCCTCCGCCACCTCCGTCTTCCCGCCCTCGCCCTCTGCCACCCACCCTCTTCTCCTGGCGCCGGTGACCCTGCCCCTGATCGCCTTGCCCCGGCTTCCATTTTTCTCTGCCTCCGAAAACCCAGTGGGAAGGGGCTGGGCGACCTCCCGGTTTCCCAAGGTTGTCGCCGGGCTGCCCCTGTCCGCCCTCCGCGCCCCTTCCCGGGAGAGGCACATGGAGAGACATGAACCAGGCGAGCGGACTGGACCTGCTCAAGATCGTGAGTCCTGGTGGCGGGGAGGGGCTCCGCTTCCTGTAGCTTGGGCTCCTATGCCGACCCTTCTGGACCAAGCTGTGAGCCAGGGTGGGAGTGAGGGGCGTTTGATGGAGATGGGGGTGGGCTCCTGTCTCCTGGGAGCAGCCCCACTGCTCTCCCTACCTGGGGCGTTTCACCGCCTGGGCAGCTCAGGTCCCCTCGCCGCACTTGCCTAGGTTTGCCTGGACACCTCGTTCGTCTCTCTTAAGAAGAAAAGCAAGCTGGGAACGCGAAAAGTTTTTATTTTTCCATCTCCCCTGAAATGTTATCCATGTCTGAGAGCTCCGGGACCACCTTTTTCTCCGATGAATGTTAGTGGTTTCTGGAAAAATTCCGGTTTGCTGCTGTTGTGAAATAGGAGATGTCAGTTGTAGGCGTTGGGAAATGAGAAGGTGGCTTTTACGTAAGGCTTTGGCAGGTACAGTGTGGATTACAGACACCTCCAGGTCTCAGAGGTAAGGAGTCTCTCAACTTTTATCCCAGCAGGGGAACGATTTAAGACTCCTCGCTGTGGGCTGCTTGGCGAGTGATGTGTGTGAAGGGCCCAGGGTTACATTTTAAGCATCATTTTGGAGAAATGTCTCTTCTTTGCTTAGCTTGTTGATTTCAAGCCTACATACATTTGCTCGATTGTAAATTGTGGTAAGATTGTATATTTTCATACTTAGATGAAATTTATAAATATGTAATTTATATATTTTATATTTACATCAGCTCAAGAGAGAAGATGTTAGAGTGTTATTTGCTGTAGTAATGGGGGCGGGAGTGGGACACGTAATGAAGGTTACAAAATGTGTTGTTACTATTGTGGTTTTGAGAGGTGGTGTTTCGAAATTGACTGTTCCAGATATTTTAATACTGTTAATAAGAACAGTTCCAGGGGATAATATTGGAGCTTTATTGAACTTGCGTTTACCACTGGGAAGTACACGTGCTAACTTAAAAAGCATAAATGACTTTGATTTGAGATGGAGGAAGCATGCAGAAACCAAGAACTTGTATAATCAGAAATCCATTTCTCCTGTAGAAGTAAGATAGATAGATGTTATAGTCTGCCTTGGGCTGTTTGGCCACTGTACAACCAGGGTGGGGACCTGTAACTAATCTCCTGCATTAACATCTAGCCTCAGCCAGAGGACCTGAATCCTTACCAACACATATCACATTTGTTCTAGACTCTTGATTTTGTCTAGTCACTTAACAGGTTAGATGCACGTGAGAAGTGCCCTCAGAGACCTCCAGGATGGTTATTCCAGGATGAAGGTCTTGAATATTGATAGAGGAAGAAAGAACTTTTAGATCTTCTTTTCTCTTTGATCTTCTTTCAGGTATTTTTTTTAAAGTTTTTGTTCCTATGATAAAAATAGAGTTCCTAAATTTCTGGAGATCAAAGTTAGGGCTGGCAGAACGCACGACTGCATTCAGATAAGAGACACTAATTCATTTAGTGATTTATATAGTCAAACCTAAGTCAACAAATATTTATTGTATGGTTGCAATGTGGAAATGATTCAGATGGGAGAACACAAACAGTTTCTGACTTCAAAAGAACTTATATTCCAGTAGCTGCAAGTGTGGCGAATGTGTGCGACACTTGTATGGCATGGGACTATAAGAAGTCCTGAATCTTATTTAATTTCCAAAAGGTAAGGATCACAGATATTCTATTTGGAGTAATCTGTAACAATTTCATAGAAGAAGAGGCATTTGAGAAGAGACTTGAAGACTGGGTTAGATTTCAACAGAGATTTTCCAGGGAGATGGTGGGGAGCTAACTATACAGGAAGCAGAGTCACAGAAGTTAGAAGTCTTAAAGCAGACATTTGCTGTCCCTAGTTTGAAAAGAGTGCAGAAAGGTACAGATTAGGCATAGTTAGGCAGAAGACAGGCAAGGCAACAGGAGGCCACATCTTGGACGCTTCGAATCCGGCGGTGTATGAAACGCTAGAGAGCCGTGGATAGGGTTCAACAATGGAGCTACTACGTAAGGGCTCATTCCAAATTGTCACCTGGGAAGGTTCTGGAAGATAATTTGGAGCCTGAGGTGGAGGTACCAGAAGGGAGATGGACGGAACAGTTTGGACAAGAGGTAATAGGCCTAAACTAAAGAGAGAGAACAGGTAATGGATATAATGGGCCTGTACATGAGCCATTGCACAGATTCAATCCATAGGAACTGGCAAGCCGTTGCGTAGATGCATGAGTGAAAACAGAAAGGGAGGAATCGATATCATAAGCAGTTAAGAGGAATAAATACTCAACTGCATTAGCATCCATCTCCTTTCTTTCTCTACCTTCCAAAAATGAAAGTACTGTTCCTTGAATTGTGTTCATAGCACATCCATTATTTAAGAGAAATGTTGCCTTATTTATTTTCTGTCTAATGAACCATGGCATCATGGGGCTGGGGACACTTGGCCAAGGCATCTCTTCCACGTCTCTGGGCAGGACAGGCCAGCAGTAAAGCTGACTGAGGAAGGAGGCTGTCTCAGCAGCACCCCCCTTTTTTTGTGACACTGAGTCATCATAATTCCACTTAGGAATGGCATTTTCATTTGCAGTGGTACCTCTAAGCCATCATTGGTTTTTAGAATCCTTTCTATTTCACCTCTGGATTACATTGCAAGTTCTGTCTGAACAAAGCAAAGGGCGTATATTCACAAACTGCCCATTCTCCTTTCTCCTTTTGTATGTCAGTAATCCTGCCTGGGGAGGGGGCACCCTCATACATTCCAACCCCTTCCCTCCAGCATGCTGTCATAAACGAAGTGGATGTACGTCTTCCATGAGAAGCGAGTGGCACTGTAACTGCCAGTTCTTGAATGTTCTTATGTAAGCACATTGCATGGCTTTCTAAAGGTCACCTGTTGCATAGTTTCACTGTGAACTTGGATGCAGGCTACTTTCAAGGTCAAGGCGCTAATTTCGGACTCTCCCTCCAAAGCTCCAAATCTGTGCTGTCCACTACAAGTAGCCACCCGCCACATGTGGCTTCCGAGCACTTGACTAGTCTGGAACTAAAAAGCGCTGTAAACATAAAATACACACCAGATTTAAGAAACTTAATATGAAATAAGGAATATTTAACGTCTCGTTAATAATTTTTGTATTGGTTACGTGGTGCAATAACAGTTTGGATATATCGAGTTACATAAAATACATTATCACCTGTTGCCATTTACCTTTTTTTAATGTGGCTACTAGAAAATTTCAATTACATATGCGGCTTATAGTATATTTCTACTGGACAGCATTATTCTAAACAGTGGCACTGGAAATTCTCCCAGGAGCTGACTCCATCGTGTATGAAGCCTGGGTAGATGAAGACAGTAGCTGAAAGGGATTGAGACGAGAAAGGTGACAGAGGAGGCAGTGCTTGAGAAACAAGAGCAGTATCTCAGCACCTTAGGCCTCAGCGAGATTGTAAGCGCCACCTCCAGTCACACCTGAAAATGAGCAGTCACCAGAGGGCCTGTTTGTTTTGCTCCTAGCAACAGCACCCAGCTGGTCCCACCCCACCTGAGGTGGCCAGGTGCTTTGCAAGCGTGCTGTAGCAACACAGCCTGGGAATGGCCACATCCTGAATCTGCAGCAAAGAGCTTTATCTAAAAAGAGCTGCCGTCCTTGTCCTGTGGGTCTTCAACCACGTCCGTCCCGTTTTCCAGAAACATCCTTAGGTCCCATGTACAGCTTAGCCTTTTGCTGTCTCCAAACATAATGGTCATGAGTCTTATGTTTCATGGTTTGCTCACATCGTCATGCCTAACTGTCATCAGTTTTCTCTTGAATAGTATTTTTGTTCTGGTGCAGCATGGGGGAAATTGGAAAGCATGCCAATCAGAATTTCTGCGTGAGTTTTAAAAACGCGAAATGTAATAGCCTGACTATTTGAGTGACTGGAGGTTAAGTTGATTTTGCAGTTTTATGTTTCTGTTCTCTTGGTCTTTCTTTTTTTATGTAAAAACTTCGTTTACCTGTTGCTGCATTTAATTTCTTTAAATTGTACAGTAGGCAGCTTTGGTCCTTTCAAGAAAGGCTGAGCAAGCTACGTTAACCCTGTAGTGGGTGGTGGCATGCTTTAATTTTGTGACATTGGGACATATCTGTAGCCATCAAATGGTATATCCACTTCCTTTCACAATTACAGGGAGTTAAAATTAATTATGACACCACTTCAAGTAACTGGGTCTGTCTTGGAGTTCTTTCCAAGCCTGGCTGGAGGTAGATTGTGACAAGGGCAAGGTTGGTCCCTGGCCTTCTCCGCCCTCCCTGCCTCTGTACTTCCCCACTAGGCATTGCTCTCTTCCCTTCTCTACCTGCCAGACTGTCAAAAGAGCTCTGTTTATGCTGTCTCTTGATTCCTTTCTGCTTTTGTGTAATCTGATCCATATAGCAAACAGTTATGTGTCCCTTTTTCTAGGGAGCTAACCTTCTCTCCTAGTAAAAGATCTGACTACCTCGTTTATACTAAGCTATTGGAAAATGAGATTTCATGTCTGATTCTTTTACGGATAGTTTTGGCTTTGTTTGCTTTGGACCATAAAATGAGGCAAATCTTTAGTTCGAACGGATACATATCATAGAATGCTAATCAAGTGGTATGAAAGTAATTTCAGGCACCAGCATTACACTCATGGGGATCACTTTAGAGATAGAACTGTCCCGTATCCATCCATCACAGAAGGCACGTCATTCTCAAAGCTGCCCCCAAGGGCTGCCAGGCCAGCTTTGCCTGTACAGCTGGGCTGAAATCTCCACTTACCTGGCAACTTCTATAATTAATTACTACTGTCTACTTCAATCATGCAGAAATCCAATTTTAATTACCTGCAGAAATGTGAACATTTAGTTGCTGATTTTGAGACTACAGTTCAATTTTTAAAGTTATGTATTTAGTATCAAAGGAGACATTCGTTTACATGAAGCTGATCATCGTGAATGTTGGATATCTTTTCAATATGTCATTTATATATTTGTGGAAATTTCTTAAGGTTTTTTTTTAGCTTCTGAAATCTTACTTAACTTGGTTGTTGTTTTAGGAGAAGTAAAGGAATTCCAATACACAGTTTTCTCTTTTTTGCTATGGTGACATCATTTGTTTTTATTAAGCTGCATGTAACTAATAGGCAATGAGAGGAAATTAACAACTTTTCAGACTGTTCCAAGAAATACTTAGGGGTCTGGATGTGTCAGGGAGAGTATTATGGGTTACACTGTGCCCTCTAGCCAACTCTCTTTTTTTCTTTCCCTTTTACTTCCTGAAACCTGTGAGGTTCTGATTGTTAACTGTTTCATATATCAGGTGCTCATATACTTGGTGTTGCCAAAAAATATTTAGAGAAACCACTGGTCATAAAAGTCACTGCATGTGAAGTTGTAGCTTAATGAAGAAAACTGTACTTCTCCAAAATTAGTCAAGTAAATATTTGAATACTTAATCTTTCATGTCGTTTTCCATTTTGGGGATGTTTAGCCTTCCCTTTTTTTCCCTTTAATCCCTTTAGATGAAACACTCTAATTTTTATTTTCAAAGATTTAGAGTCACTAAAAAAACAAATCATTCCGGCAAGATGGACTTAATTTTCAATATGCATTGAGTTCAAGGAAACTTCACTTTGTAATGGTAGTGTAAATTTTCACTAACATTTTTCCAAGTACACAGAAGCGGACTCTTCGCTTTTCAAAAGATGCTTTACGTTTTTTCCTGGATCCTGGATGTTGTTATAAAAATAACTAATCATTGAGTAGTTACTCTATACTTAAAAAAAAAAGAGGAAACTGTAGAAGAGAAATTAATGATGAAGTTAGTAAAAGAACAGAACAGAGGTATTATTAAGTCTATCTATTTATTTGGCTTTTAATAAATATATAATGAATCAGAATTTGCTATAACACTATGAAGGCATGAACAAGTTAATACTCTGAATAAATCATCCCTCATAAATTTAAGTGATGGAAGGATGATATGTTTTTCTCAGAATCACCAGTTCGTACGCAATTCAGTGTGCCACCGTCGTTTTCTTAGTGTGCAAACTGTGTCTTAGTCCAGTTAAAATCTGTAGTAATCCAATGTAAATACACTGCATAGGTAGCTAACCACAGCCAAAACAATGCTTATGAACAGTATTCCCAGGGACCTAGAAATATTAATGTGATTTTTTTTCATATATTTAATTTCCTGCAGAGAACTGCAGCTTTCCCTGGGACTGTATGTCTTCAATATTGTGTGGTTCTCATGTGCCTGTTGTACAATTGTGAACAGCCATGAAAAAGCTTACACACCAAAGCAGCTGACTAGTAAAATGTATTTGTCATGAAAAATCTGAAACAAATGACAATGATAGAGCTTCAAAGACTCTATTTCCACCCGTTTCAACATGGTACTGGAAAGACACATGATAATAGGATGAGATTATATTTCATCTTAGTTTTCAGTGATAATTTATGCTCCTCATGAAGATAAATAGTGTATTTAACATAGATTTGCCTCCATCCCTCCCAACCAAAGAAACATGTTAGGTCCGAAAATTGTTTCAAGGCCTTAAGTATTTTGCCATATGAAATATGTATTTTTTTTTAATTTTAAGGAAATTATCATACTTTATTTTAGTGTTCTTAGGCCTTGGAAGACACTTCTGTCCAAACCTTTACATAATAATTGGAAAAGGAAGAATGTTGTTGAAAGAATGTTATTTTTCAACAGTTTACTGAATAATGTTTACTCAAGTAAGAAGAATAAGCTGTTAAGTGAGGAGAACCTTGTATAATACATTATGAAAGCCCAGTTTAGATGATCTTTCCTTTTATGAAGTTGAGAGTTAATTAAATGCCATGGAAACACATTTGTATAATATAAATCCCTTAGCTACTTGGAAGAGAAAAAATATATTTAAGAAAAGTTTTTCCTTTAAGATTATACACCCCTCTCACTGATTGTAAATGCATCTAAATTACTCAGATGTTTGTACTGGAATGGATTTCAGCTTGCCTAACTGCTATGTATATAATGGTTTGTGAGATATTTCCATTTTAATGAAACCCATATCAGTAAACAAAGTATAACAAAGTTAGCATTTTCAAAACCTGAACAGGGTGATTTTGAAAAAGTAAATTTTGTAAACTCTGATAATCTAATGAAGCCTCTGTGAGCCTAATCATTCTGAACATGTTATATACTTTAGCCCAATTTCCCCCCACCCTTCCAGCCCTAATGTGGGCATCCGTTTTTTTAATATATTGAGTCCTTACCATGTGCTAGGTCTTATACTGAATGCTATAAAAAATATTAGTTCATTTAATACATAAAATAGCTCTGTGACGTAAGTGTTAATACTCCCCTTGTAAGGATGACAAGACTGATGGTTGGAGAGGTGAAAAAAATTGTTCAAGATTTGCTACAGCAGTATCCCAACCTATGTGTATTTAACTGTAGTGCTATTTTTCCACTTATGTTTTAATGTTCGATGTTTGCAATAACTATCTGTGGCTAGAATTAAACATAGATTGATACATAGTTTATTCTTAGAGCTTTCAGTGTAAACTGCAGATAGAGTAAAAAAAGCCAGTTCGTTCGTAGATGTTTGTGTTTGGCCCAACTCTATTATCGAAATTGTCTTACCTTTAACATCCTGTTCATAAATGCTTACTTTTTCATTATTATTATTCCATGAAATTTATTTTTCTTGCCTTCTCAGCAAAATCACTAAGTTGTTAAAAAAAATCACAAAGAAACACAAGGCTTTTCACATCATGTGCAAACATGACCACCATGGGCCAGAAAATTTTACAACGTATTTTAACTTCATGAAATTCACTACCACTTAGATATTGATTTCACCATCTCTCAAAGCACTCTCTCCATCCATACAATAATCTGAAGAACTGGCACCCATGCTTCATTCATTCACGTTCCACCTAGACTTACAGACATAAATTTAAAGGTAATTAATCAGGATTCATATTGCAAAGTGTCCTTCTGGCCACTGTATGCAGTTCTTGTGAGTACCACTCCAGTATAGGAGTACCCGTGGAATTAAAAATTAAAGCATAAAAAGAAGCAAAAAAAAAAAAAGAAAAAAAAAGAAAGGCCTGCTCCACACTGCTGGAAAACAGTATTTCATTATGCATGAATATATTGCATTCATGCTGGAAGGTTTTGACAAGTTACCTTTTCTCTCACCTTACTGTCCCTCCTGCCCTTTTACATGCTTATTTTTAAATGCTTTATCTTTAGTGGATTTTGCCTCCTGACAACAGTTATGCTAAAAGGTAGCCTCCATTGTTTTAATTATGAAATGCTTTTTATTAAATCATTCAGTGCCTTGTCTAAAAATTTCTCCTCCTGATACACTCACTGATTTGAAATAAATATTTGTGATTTCTCCAATAATAACTTTTTAATAATGCCCATATGATGGCAATTCATTCTTTACTTTCAGTCCTGGACATTTTCTAAAACTAGGCCTGGATTCCTGTGAAAGGGTCTAACACTCATCACATTTTTTCTTTCTCTTCTCCCCCACCTCTTTTAGTCATATGGAAAAGGCGCTAGAAGGAAAAACAGATTTAAAGGATCCGACGGCAGCACATCGTCTGACACTACCTCAAATAGTTTTGTTCGTCAGGTAAGGGAGCTCTTATATTCATGGTTTGGGGAAGTATACTAAAATGAATTTAGTTTTGTTTTAAGTGTTGTTTGACACCATGATTTTTAATATTGATGTAGTATTATTGTGTTTACTTTTAGTTGAAGTGAAAACGGTACCATTTAAGGGCATAGTTAAAAATGTTTAAATATTAAGCGAGACTGTGAGTAATAACTACACTCCTAGAAAGTTGGGAAAAGACAAGTGTAAACTTCCTGACAAAGGATTTCTTGATAACACAATAAGTGAACTTTAGCGGAAATGATCACAGGTTTCAGAGTGTTTTTTTGTTGTTTTTTTCTTCTTCTTCCCTGGGCGAAGGCAGGCAGTGGGTACCCACGTCACCAGCTATGGAGCCTGGGACACTGGTGATCCCCTAGCTTGCGTTGTCTTCCACTTCCCATCTGGAGTGTGGATTGGAAAAGAGAAACTTGTTCTTGGTCTTGAATTGGTTGTGGCTACGAAGGTTAAATAGAGCACAGAATATCTTTGTGACATGATTTCAGCTGCCCTTGGTGACATAGCCTTCATTTCTGTTAACACGTGGTGTAGTCCTGCCCAGCAGTTTGGAAATGGCCCCTGAACAGGCAGTGTCAGGAACCCTAACTTATAAACACTCTCATCTGTGATAACATTAAAGCACTTTAATTACCTGGGGAGGAACACAGGCAGCCAGATCTCCGAGGATAACAGCTTACATGTGGAGACTAATGCCCTTCAGGTGTCGGTGAGCATGTCTGTTCATCTAACACTTCTCAGGGGAGAGGAAATTGCGGAGGGGAGTTCTAGAGAGAACCAGCTTTCCTGGCGGAGTCAGGACCACCGGTTTCCGATTGGTGTGCTCATAATCTCTTGTCAGTCGTCACATCTCATTCCCCGAACAGCAGATGTCAACTGGAAAAGCTGCTCCATTTCTTTGAAAAGAAAGCCACTTTTCCCCAGTGCTTCGTGTCCTCCCGACCTCTCCACACACATGTTTCTCCCTCACTGTTAATGAGCAGCTGTTAAGCTTAAACTTGTTCACCTGCTGTATCCGTGGGGGCTTTTATGCTTGGCTGGTTGCTGCCGCCTCTGCTGTCCCATAGCAGACAGAGGGTGGTCCCTCTGCCACCGGTTCCCCGCTTGCAGCATCAAGTACACCAAAGGTATGTCTGAGTAATTGACAGGCAACTGGACACGTTTGGGTTCTGGTCTATGCCAATTGGGAATTGTTTCAGCCTTTAGTAAAGGAGTTGGTTAAGAAGGAGCAGAACTTTTTGTTGTTGTTGTTAAGAAACATTTAGAAAGAGAAAGGAAGTTGAAGCCAAGTGAAGTCCCGCCCTGGAGCTGTGTTGTAACGGTGTCGGAGAACCTGGGAAAGGCTGTAAGAGGAGCTGACGGTGTGCAGTGGCCTGTTGTCGTCGTGGGCAGAATTCCAGCGTCGTGGTCCTAAGTCTGAGTGAGGGGCCTTCAGAGATGGTGACTTAGCTTGGGCGATTCTGTTAAAGGAAAGTTACTTAAGTCCTTTTCCATTTCACGCATCCGTATTTATTCTGCCTCTGGGACAAGGACGCTGAACGTAGAGAGCTAGAATCCACAACTGTGAGTCATCATCTCAGGGCCAAACATCAGAGGATCTGAAACAGAAACAAATAAGCTTCTTAGGATGCATAGTGGCTGCAGCAGAGCCGCACAAAACGATAAGCAGCTTGTCAAAATTTCATGGAAAGAAAAACATGTTGCAAGTGAGCAAGATATTGCAAATAGAATTAATAGGACAGAGCCGTTATTGCTCATTTTAACTCTGTAAAAATGTCGCTGACAGGCAGTCGCTGGACCCTAATTTTCCAGTTGTCTCTTTGGCTGTGAATTCCCCTTTCATGGAGTTTTGAGAACTTAATTTGTAAGGTCAGGAGGGTTTGCCCCTGTGTAGAAATGAACTAGAATGTGTTTTTCCTCATTACTTCCTCTTGACATTGCGTTCTTGGTTAAGTGTGGGAGATTCTGTGCTTAAAACACAATTATAAATGATAAAGAGAGCTGCTAAACTACTTAGTGTAAATTTAGATACAAGTATATATTGCCAAAACATGTGAGCATGTAAGAAGACTAAAAAAAAAAAATCCTCAAGGACTATGTCTTTGAATCTCGGTAGAATGAGGTGCTTGTAATGGCATGGATTTCGGGTAACAATGACACAGGCTTTGCGAACCCTGAAGGGTCAGTTTGCCTCTATCACAGAAGGAAAAACCAGCGTCTTTGGCAAGAATGCTCTTACGCACTGTATTTTATTTGGTAATTTAACCTCTATTCTGTTAAAACAGTATTTATATTTTGCTACCACTTGAAAACAGGTAAAAGCCACCATGAATTAGCTAAATATTTAATATATTATGGTTTCATCAGAGAATTTGCAGAAAAGCATGGTAGAGAGTAGCAATAAGCATACGTCAGATTAAATAATTTGAAAGAACCCCTTTTAAGTGTTTTCTTTTTATCATAACTAAATGTTTCGTTAAACAAGTGATTTGTGTCAGTATACAGGCGTACCTCAGTTTGGCTCTAGACCACCACAATAAAGCAAGTCGTAAGCTTTTTGCTGGTGAAGGGTCTTGCCTTCAATTTGTGAAAAAACACATCCTTGAGGTGCAACAAAGTGGAGAGCAACAAAACGAGGCATGCCTGTAGTACTTTTCATCCTTGTTCCAAACCACCCAGCTAAGGAAGACTTGTAGAAAGATTCCTACCAGTGGTTTTAGGATAGTGTTTTTAGGATGAATGCATGTAAAAGTAGCCTTCTTCTTTTAACTGCCTTTTTTACAGGAAGGTAGGATGTCTTTAGCATGGTAAACTTTCCCTAGGCATCATGATTTAAAAACAAATGAAAGACAAAACAACAAAAACCCAAAACAAACGTTTCCTTCGTTTTTTCATCAGCAGTTGCTCAGATGCCCTTTTGTGTCACCATTCCAGCATATTCTGCCACCTTATTGGAAATGAGAAGCAGATTAGGAAGAGTGTTTGTTCCCTTCCTCCCACAAGAGTCAAAGAAACACGTTTTTTGACTCCTGAAAGTCTTTTTTTCTTTTAACTTGGATGTGAACTCAATCACCTGCTGTTTGGGAATGAGATCTGCCTGAAGCTGCTTGTGGGCCCATGAATCGCCCCGTATTGTGAATCTGGCTAAAGTTAGGTGCACATACAGAGCCTAGTTTTACATTAGGCCTCTCTAGCCATGGTTTTTTTCGGTTGATTAGGATTTTGCTTTGTTAACAGCCATTTTAATTTTAATTTTAATTTATTAAGGGACAGAAAGTGTTAAACATGACTTCTAGGCACCCTACTTAGAATTAATGAAGAGTAATGTTCCAATTGGTTATGTATTCCTAAAAGGTCTTTAATACAAGAAGCTTTGGTCCCTTAATTTATTAGTGAGATAATTAAGGTATTGAGGTTGTCTTTGATTCGAGTATATACTCTTTGTACTCTCTGGCTCTGTGTTCTGAATAGATACGTCAATAAGAGAACTTCGTTTATCATAATAAACCATTCTTAAAATCCTTTGCATTCTGTGCCTTGTGTCAATTTATAGTCTATTAAGATAATTACATTGTCATACAATTTAGCTGTTTCCTCCCAGCTTAAAAAAAAAAATCCCTAAGCTCTGTTGTCTCAAAAGGAAGAACTAGTAGTTTATTTGAGCACCAGAACCTAACCAAGTAAATTAATTGACTGGCGTGAAAATAGGTGGTTAGGAGTAACAAGGCCTGCCTGACACTGAGAGGTAGAACATTCGTGCTGTTCTTTTTGAGAGATTGTGCAAGAACTGCTAAGTGTATGAATTCTTTGATTTGGCCAAGGTCAGGGAAGACTGTGTACGTCTGCAAATAAGTAGTGGTCATCAAAGTTAAAACAGCTTGTGGGGAGTGGAGAGGGGAGTGTTAGTAACTATTCAATCGGTCCAGTTACTTCTCTTTTTTTTTTGCTCTCTTCCTGTTTTTTTTCTTTTTCTCTCTCTTTTTTTTTTTTTTTTTAAAGTTTCTTCATTTTCTTAAAGGCATGTGTTCTTGCTGGCTACACTGATGTACCTGGCAGTATTCCTAAGATGAATACCAAATGCTAAGGGAATAACTGACTGCCAGTTTGCTTTATTTTTTATGATTCCACAGCATGGTACCTTTGATTCGGCGTATACTGTCCTCTGAGTTCTGCTATATGCTCTGCCATGTATGGCCAGGACTCACGAACTGCTTCCCCTGATCATTTTTATGGGCCACCCTTTTGTACCCACTGTGTCTTTTGTGTGGAAAGTCGAGCCTTAAAAATTAACAACTCTCTTTGGAATTTTCAAGTGCCATTCTTTTGGGGGATTTGTGGGGAAAAACACTGCAACTGACCTGGGGTTTTGCTCGCCAACATAAGAGTATATTGTGGTTGTAACGAAATAATCCTGTAGCTTCTAAGGGCTTCCAGAATACCAATCGGGATGACAAAATGGAACGGACCAAATATTTAACAGAAGGTTGCCTGACGCTTTCGGAACACGGTATTCTAAACAAATTCCATTGCCTTCCAGTACCATGTTCTTGGTGCAGCTTTTTGGACCTTTTATTAGTTCAATTTGGCTTTAAATACGAATGATTAATCACAGAGACACACAGTCTATTTTTTGGTTTTGTTTTGCAAAGACAGATTAAACTGCGATAATGATTACAGACTCCAGGCCTGCATACACTGATATGTTTAAGGTTGGATAAATCTTTCAGCTCTTAAATACTGGCTGGTTGCCTTGTCATGCTGTATTCGTCACAAACACAACTATAAATAATAATGCAGTAGATTTATTGCCACTGTGATTTCCTGTAAATGTCTTTCTATCTTATTAGGAATTCACTTAGATTTTGTGAATGGCAGACTATGTCCTGAGCCCTCCTAGGAACTTTTCTTAAATATATCCATATAAAAATAGTGAGCTTTTCAGTGAAGAAGTCCCTTGTTCTTTCTATAGCATGAACCTATATCCCACCATTGATGTTTTTCTTTTTTTCTTTTAGGAAACATATACTTTAGAAAGTATCAAAACAAAATTTAGATTTTTATACTTCAACATATAATTAGCTTTAAGATGTCTCTTTTAACATAATTTTTGTGGGAGAACATGGATACAATTACACATGATTATATATAAAATCTCCCTCCTCAGATTGTTTTCATGTATTTGAAACACCTGCCTATAAACTAGGTTTGATTAGCGTCTCTAATTGTTAAAATAATTTTGTGGTGAGTTGAGACACTTTTTATCTTTTTCCTGATATAAAATATAACATTTTAAAACTCAGAATTATTTCTGCAGGTGTTTGTAGTTTCTTGGGTTCTCAGATATGTTTCAAATTATAATATACTTTCCACTTAAGCACCATTTCCTCCCATTATTATTCATCTTCTGCTTGCCAATCCACGTAAAGTCTTAGAAATTATAGACTGAGAGTAACTGAAAATTTACAAGTGGCCTAATATGGAGTAATTCGTATGACTAAGAAAATGGAGTTTCATTAAACACTGAATTTACAAAAAGTATGTGTTTCAGTTGAACCCTAAACTTGTAGGAGTGCTGCTGAAGATCGGTTACTTAGCTTAAAGTTAATTATTCATGTGTCTCAGGGCTTCATGGGCATTGTACCCAAGTAGTAGTCTGGTGGAACCAAGGAATCGTTCTCTCTTCTCTAAACTGTCTTTTATAGCTATAAATATTGTCAGCTTCTCCCCTTATTGATTTGTTTCTGGGAGTCTTCCTGTCTGATGATTATCAGATACTAAAGAAGTTCTTTTTTGAGATGTTGGCTTACGTCTGAAAAATATTTGCTATGGTTGAGTTCAACAAGGACTCATTCCAGTGTTAACTGTTCATTGTTCCACATTCGTGACCAAGCACGTGTGTTTTTTGCAAAGACCTGAGGTGGAGAAAAGGAACTGAGCCCCCCACCCCCGCCCACAATCTTATCATGCTTCCTTTCACCATCTGCTTATTTTAGAGTTGGAGGATGAAGGGCAGGGGGGGGGGGGAGCAGGAAGATGATCACAGGAGGAGGGGAGAAGCTTTATAGAGTCTTCCATTGACTCATAATTGGGAAAAATGTAGCTAAAGCTCTTCAGGAAGTCTCTGTCCCCTGCCACCATCTCACCATCTGTGTCATCCCTCCCAACTGTCATCAAGTTGAGAGAATTATCTTGGCTTAGGGCTTTACATCTCCCTTCATATTTCCTTGTGTCCTTGGTATTTGTAGAAAAGTTCCAGCTTCCATTCTTTCTTTGATTTGACACCTGGTACCAGGAGAGCCCAGGGGGCAACTGGATTGTTTGGACTTCTGACAAGGACAGTTTGTTTTGACTCAGCTTTCTCCTCTCCATCTGTCTGAAAGTCTGGACAAAAACCTCACCGGTTTTTCTTTCTTGGAAAGTAATGTTTTTCTCTGAGCCCAGGGTCAGATTTTTTGTGTAGATGTAAACCTTGAAGCTTACTTCCATTTAGATGTTTACTCCCATGGAAAGATGTGTTGATTTCTCTTTGGTCTAGGTGCGATATCTGAAAATTGGAACGTGGATGATTGCTTTATTTATTTTGTTTTAAACAACTGCCACAACCAAAACAAACAGGCAAACTTTTCATTTGAAAGAACAGTGACATAGATGGTGTACTCATTTGCTAGAGCTGCAGTAACAAAGAACCACAAGGCCGGGTGGCTTAAACCACAGAGATTTATTATCTCTTAGCTCTGGAGCCTGGACGTCTGACATCAAGGTGTTGGCAGTGAAGGAAGGATGGCTTGTTCTGATGCTATGAAGGAAGGATCTGTTGTAGGCCTCTCTCTTTGGCTTGTAGTTGCTATCTTCATGTTCCCATGCTGCTGTCTATAGTTTTCCCTTTTTATAAGGACATCAGTCATATGGGACTAGGGCCCATCCTAATGATCTCATTTAATTTAATTGCCTCTATAAAGATCCTGTCTCCAAATAAAGCCACATCCTGAGGTATTGGAGGTTAAGACTTCAACATGTGAATTTTGGCGGAGGGGACACAATTCAACCCATAACAGATGGTGACTCTATTATAATTAGCTTCGTGTATAAATTTTTGTTATTCCATGTACCATAAGTGTTTCACATGAAAATAGGCTTGCACTAAAAATCATTGACCCAAAAGGCCAGCATATATCAAAAAGACAGAAAAACATCTTTTGCCAGAATATGAAAAGAGTAAAAAGGTGCACCTCCCACATGTGTCACTATGATTCATAAATGGAATAGCATGTATTTTTTGTAATCACCCTAATAAATGCAACTAACATCTTATGGACCCACTTTAATTTTCTTTATGTTAAATTTTTTTTATTTAGACTATTCAGTTTCTCCAAAGTATAAAATCTCCTAAGGCCTTCACAACTTGTACCTAAGGGTGTTTCAGAGATTCCTCAAATATTTTTACAAGCCTTGGGACTTTTAAAAATTAAATCCATCAGTATAACCCAGAATCTGGTTCATACTTGAGCATGATTTGTCTGATGGGTAAAATGCATGTGAACTGTTGCATACCTACAATAGATGGGTCCTTTGCACTTAGCTTCATGACAACTATGAATACACACGCATGCACACACACGCACTTATGTGTGTGTGTTTTCTGTGACTTTTAGCTTTTCCTTTCACCCTTTCCCCTCTAATATTTAAAAACAGCTGTATTTTGAAAAATAAGTATATGCCTAAATCAGTGTCCTTTAATGTGGTGTGAAGATTTGAGCTACTATTTAAAAGTTATCTTTATACTTGCATTTCTCACAGTGAATAATTAATGCTATTGAGTTCTTCCAGTTATTACTTCAAGCTTATAGACTTTAAAAACCAAGAAGAATGAGGAATTAAGATCCTCACTTAATCTTTCTCTCTGACAATTACAAGGAGAGCTGGAGCCGAGGAGAAAAAAGCCCCAGGGTGGGTGAGAATAC